CCGAAATGCAGGGCTTGCCTCATTAGTCTAAGATTAGCTATATATCACTGCATCAAAAGTTACCTCACAATGTAGCATCTTAAAATAACAAACATGTATTATCTCACACAGTTTCTGAGGGTTGGGACTCCGGAAGTGACTTCGCCGTGTAGCTCTGGCCCAGGGTCTTCCGTGAGGCTGCAGTTAGGATGGCAGTGGGGCCTGCAGTCTCGACTGAAGGCTCAAATGGGAGCTGGAGGAACCACATGAAGTGGCATCCTCAGCCAGCTGTGAGCAGGAGACGCGAGTGCCCTGCTGTGTATACAGGCCTCTCTTGGGGCTGCTTGGCGATCTCCACAGGGTGGCGGCTGGCATCCCCCAGAGCATGTGGCTCAAGAGTGACCGCCGTGAAAGCCACTGAGTATTTGTGGCCAAGTCCAGAAGTGCCACGTTGTCCCAGCTCATTAGCAGCGAGTCAGGAAGTCCAGCCTATTCTCAAGGGGAGGGAGGGAATTAAGGTCCACTTCTTAAGGAATTAGAGGACGCATTTAAGATGACCACAGGTCACATGAGTGGTTCTTTAGCTCTGAAGTCTCAGAAGTGCTTTCTGAGGGGGGGCTACTGAGCATCACTGAACCTGGCCTTCCATCTGCCCTGGGCTCACAGCCTCACCTGGGGGGCAGGCAGCTGTTCTCTGCACCCGACGTGAGGTCTCCTGGCCACGGACGTTGTTGGCGTAACATCTGTGACATCTCAGGTGAACTGTTCAGCTGGAAACAGCACCATCAGGCAATTGGCAACAGAAGCCCAAAGCTCTGGGTGCCTCAGGTCAGAGTGAGGAACAATGCAAGGGCCGCAGCTCCCCCCAGTGCCAGACAGGAGCATGTGTTCCCAGCTCTAGACAGGATAACCCACTGCAAATCCAAAGCAGAGCACATGGTCCAACTCCATCCATGTGGCACCTTCATAGATGGTGCCCACCTGCCTCGGCAGAGTAATGACTGACACTGCAAACGCGATGCCGGCATGAGTCATCTCGATGGAGCTGAAATCCAGCCCCGTTTTACAGAAGAGAAAACTGAGGCTTAGAGAGATCAGGTGTCAAGTTCTATGCCAAGCACAGGGAGGCAAAAACAGGACACACTCATCATAATGTGGCCCCAGGAATTGGTGGTCAGGACACAGGAGGTGTGCTGAGTGCAGATGGGCAGATGCAAGCTGGGCCCCAGGAGTGAGGTGGTCTGTTGGAGGCTCCTGGACCTCCCGGATGAGAGGACATCAGCTGCTCAGGGAGGGAGGATTTGAGATGGACTCTGGCTGGTGTGGATCCGCCCATAGTGTGTTTGCAGGGAGGGACACCTTGAACAAACATGGGCTGAGGGGAGTGTGTGTGGAGCGTGGCCAGTGAAGGCTGGGCTGGCTGGCAGGGGCCGCTGGTCATGGGAGGCCTAGCCTGCAGCAGCAGCGCCTCATCAAAGACACGGGGATGGATGGCTGAGGGACAAGTGTTTTAGAAGGTCGTGGGCTTGTTTAGGCTGAGGCCAGGAAGGCGTGAGGGTCCTCAGGGAAGGAGAGCAAGCTGGGGGAGACTCCCGCATGGAAGACTTTCTACCTGAGGCCGAGTGAGCACAGCCCCTTGCCCCGTCCCCCAGGAGTTCAGCCACCCCGTGGAGAGCCTTGCACTGACCGTGGAAGAGGTGATGGACGTGCGCCGTGTGCTGGTGAAGGCCGAGATGGAGAAGTTTTTGCAGAACAAGGAGCTCTTCAGCAGTCTGAAGAAGGGGAAGGTGAGGCTGCCTAGACATGGGGCTGCTGTCTTGCCTGCTGCGTCGGGGGCAGATCCCGGGACTGTTTGCTCATGATCTGGTTGGGAACCCTGAGGGGCAGCAAGGCCAGGGCAGGACCCAGGGAGCTTTGGACAAAGCCGGGCTCTAATCAGGTCTTTCCTGACAGATTTGCTGCTGCTGCCGGGCCAAGTTCCCGCTGTTCTCGTGGCCGCCCACCTGTCTCTTCTGCAAGAGGTGAGCCTTCCCTTTGGCTGCCAGTTCACAAGGGGAGGAGGAGGTGAGAAGCCTCTGGGCAGTGCTGCCCACAGAACTTCCTGTGACTCCAGGAATGTTCTAGCATGTTCCATGGCTGATGAGTCCACAAATATCGTTAGTTGAATGAGGAGTTAAATTTTAAATTTTATTTAAATTAAATGAAACTTAAATAGCTAAGCAACTCCCAGTTTCAGCCAAGATGGGGTAATGGGCATCTTCCACAGCCCAGAACAAACAGGATATGAAACAATGTTTTTCAAGACTTTCGACAGCAGGCAACAAAAAGGAAACACAACAGGGCAGGCCTGCCATCACCGCAGTCATTGTCTGGAGAGTTTCTCGGCCATGAGCCACAGCCGCCAGACTCCCGGAATGGAGGAAATCCAGGGAGACCACAGCAGCTTGAATCCCCCACGCAGAACCCCGGAGGAGAGGGCTGCGCCGAGAAAGCCTCAGAGAAGGCCCCCTCTCTGAAGGAAATGACTGAAGGCTGCAAAACATTTCTCCTAAAGCAGAGCTTGACAAACTATAGCCACGGGCCCAATCTGGTCCTCCGCCTGTTTGGCGAGTAAAGTCTCGTTGGAACACAGCCACACCCATTTGTTACTCGCTCAGCCACGCCTAAAAGGTTTATTCTCTGGCCCTTTACAGAAAAAATTTACCTTCCCTTGTTATAAAGATCTGAAGGAACAGTGCTCAGGGCCAGGAATGAATAACATCCGTTTCCACCAGCCACAGCCAGAAATGTCGTGATTTACAGGGCACTCACCGGAATGCACACGAAGGCCTGGCCTCACTAATGTGGAATAAGCAGCCCAAAGTGAGTGTTGCTCCAGGCCTGACTAATAAATCATAGGAAGACCTGAAAGGATCAAACTGTTCACAGATATCTTAACTGATTCTGAGAACAAAGCTGAAGAACAAGACTTTTTAAAAAACAAACAAAAAAACAAAGCAGTACTCAGCAAGATAAAATGTCTGGCATCTAATCAAAGATTACCAGGCAGGCAAAAAAGACAAAATTAATTACAATGTATTGTGGGTTCTGTAACACACGTATAAGTAGTGTTGACAACAATAGTTAGCATTAAGGCCAGGGAGAGGAGAAAATTGGAAGTATACTTCTTTTTTTTTTTTTTTTTTTGAAATGGAGTCTGTCGCCCAGGCTGGAGTGCAGTGGCGCAATCTCAGCTCACTGCAAGCTCCGCCTCCCCAGTTCACGCCATTCTCCTGCCTCAGCCTCCCGAGTAGCTGGGACTACAGGCGCCTGCCACCTTGCCCGGCTAGTTTTTTGTATTTTTAGTAGAGACGGGGTTTCACGGTGTTAGCCAGGATGGTCTCAATCTCCTGACCTTGTGATCCACCCGCCTCAGCCTCCCAAAGTGCTGGGATTACAGGCGTGAGCCACCGCGCCGGGCCAGAAGTACACTATTTTAAGGTTCACTATGATAAGGTGAATCACTGTGATAAGGTATAGTAAGGTGTTATATACGCAATACAAATATTAAAGGTAAACTATGATAAGTTAAAGATGTATACTGTAAGTCCTAAAGCAACCACTAAAATAAAACAGTTACAGCTAATAAGCCAACAAAGGAGATAAGATGGAACCATAAATATTAATTAATTCAAAAAAAGATAGGAAAAGAAGGAGAACAAATAAATGAGTCAAAAAGAAAACAAATAGCAAGATGTCAGACTTAAACACAACTTATCTAGCATCACATTAACTGTAAATGATCTGAACAACCCAAGTAAAAGCTAGAGTTTCCCAGACTGAATAAAAAAGTAAGGCTGGGGCCGGGCGTAGTGGCTCACACCTGTAATCCCAGCACTCTGGGAGGCTGAGGCAGGCGGATCACGAGGTTGGGAGGTTGAGACCAAACTGGCCAACATGGTGAAACCCTGTCTCTACTAAAAATAGAAAAAAATAGTCGGGCGTGGTGGTGGGGGCCTGTGGTCCCAGCTACTTGGGAGGCTGAGGCAGGAGAATTGCTTGAACCTGGGAGGTGCAGCTTGCAGTGAGCTGAGATAGTACCACTGTACTCCAACCTGGGTGACAGAGGGACACTGTCTCAAATAAATAAATAAATAAAGTAAGGCTGGGTATGGTGGCTCATGCCTATAATCCCAGCACTTTGGGAGGCTGAGGTGGGAGGATCACTTGAGCCAAGGAGGTCAAGGCTGCAGTGAGCTATGATGGTGTCACTGTACTCCAGCCTGGGTGACAGAGCAAGACCCTGTCTGGGAAAAAAAAAAAAAATCGGCCGGGCGCGGTGGCTCAAGCCTGTAATCCCAGCACTTTGGGAGGCCGAGACGGGTGGATCACGAGGTC